GTCTGCAGTCCACTGTGACGTCAATGTGACATTGTCTGTAGTCCACTGTCACATCAATGTGACATTGACTAGTCCATTGTGACATCAATGTGACATTGACTGTAGTCCACTGTGACATCAATGTGACATTGTCTGTAGTCCACTGTGACATCAATGTGACATTGTCTGTAGTCCACTGTGACATCAATGTGACATTGATTTTAGTCCACTGACATCAATGTGGCACTGACTGTAGTCCACTGTGACATCAATGTGACATTGACTGTAGTCCACTGTGACATCAATGTGACACTGACTGTAGTCCACTGTGACATCAATGTGACATTGACTGTAGTCCACTGTGACGTCAATGTGACACTGACTGTAGTCCACTGTGACATCAATGTGACATTGACTGTAGTCCACTGTGACATCAATGTGACACTGACTGTAGTCTACTGTGACATCAATGTGACATTGTCTGTAGTCCACTGTGACATTGTCTGTAGTCCACTGTGACATCAATGTGACATTGTAGTCCACTGTGACATCAATGTGACATTGTCTGTAGTCCACTGTGACATCAATGTGACATTGTCTGTAGTCCACTGTGACATCAATGTGACATTATAGTCCACTGTGACATCAATGTGACATTGTCTGTAGTCCACTGTGACATCAATGTGACATTGTCTGTAGTCCACTGTGACATCAATGTGACATTGTCTGTTGTCCACTGTGACATCAATGTGACATTGTCTGTTGTCCACTGTGACATCAATGTGACACTGACTGTAGTCCACTGTGACATCAATGTGACACTGACTGTAGTCTACTGTGACATCAATGTGACATTGTCTGTAGTCAACTGTGATGTCAATGTGACATTGTCTGTAGTCCACTGTCACATCAATGTGACATTGACTAGTCTATTGTGACATCAATGTGACACTGACTGTAGTCTATTGTGACATCAATGTGACACTGACTGTAGTCTACTGTGACATCAATGCGACATTGTCTGTAGTCCACTGTGACGTCAATGTGACATTGACTGTAGTCCTCTGTGACATCAATGTGACATTGTCTGTAGTCCACTGTGACATCAATGTGACATTGACTGTAGTCCACTGTGACATCAATGTGACACTGACTTTAGTCCACTGTGACATCAATGTGACACTGACTTTAGTCCACTGTGACATCAATGTGACACTGACTGTAGTCCACTGTGACATCAATGGGACACTGACTTTAGTCCACTGTGACATCAATGTGACATTGACTGTAGTCCAGTGTGACATCAATGTGACACTGACTGTAGTCTACTGTGACATCAATGTGACACTGACTGTAGTCTACTGTGACATCAATGTGACACTGACTGTAGTCTACTGTGACATCAATGTGACATTGACTGTAGTCCAGTGATGTCAATGTGACACTGACTGTAGTGCACTGTGACATCAATGGGACACTGACTTTAGTCCACTGTGACATCAATGTGACATTGACTGTAGTCCAGTGTGACATCAATGTGACACTGACTGTAGTCTACTGTGACATCAATGTGACACTGACTGTAGTCTACTGTGACATCAATGTGACATTGACTGTAGTCCAGTGATGTCAATGTGACAATGACTGTAGTGCACTGTGACATCAATGTGACATTGACTGTAGTCCACTGTGACATCAATGTGATGTGACACTGACTGTAGTCTACTGTGACATCAATGTGACATTGTCTGTAGTCCACTGTGACATCAATGTGACATTGTCTGTAGTCCACTGTGATGTCAATGTGACATTGTCTGTAGTCCACTGTGACATCAATGTGACACTGACTGTAGTCCACTGTGACATCAATGTGACACTGACTGTAGTCCACTGTGACATCAATGTGACATTGACTGTAGTCCACTGTGACATCAATGTGACACTGACTGTAGTCTACTGTGACATCAAGGTGACATTGTCTGCAGTCCACTGTGACGTCAATGTGACATTGTCTGTAGTCCACTGTCACATCAATGTGACATTGACTAGTCCATTGTGACATCAATGTGACACTGACTGTAGTTTACTGTGACATCAATGTGACATTGTCTGTAGTCCACTATGACGTCAATGTGACATTGACTGTAGTCCTCTGTGACATCAATATGACATTGACTGTAGTCCACTGTGACATCAATGTGACATTGTCTGTAGTCCACTGTGACATCAATGTGACATTGTCTGTAGTCCATTTTTTATTTCATTTCAATAATGTACATGTCATTGTCCCTCAGGCGCCATTGAGGTATGGCAGATAGTTGATGGCCAGACAAGCTTTAAGAATCTATTCAATCTATATGAGCATGACAACTCTGCAAATACTGTTAGTTTAAATATGAAGAAAACGAAGGCTGCTAGTGGAAGTGCTGATAGAAGGTATGTTTTAATCAAACTGACCCCCCCCCCCCTCCCACACACACACACCCTAACATATGGTAACATTGTTAGAGCTGGGCTGGAGAATTATGAAAAATCAATATTTGAATAAATATGCATATAATCTGACAAACATTAAGTTGGAATTGAAAAAGTTCCAAAGAATTTGTCCCTACTGTTTAGAAATTCTTTTTGTATAACACTGTTAAACCTGAACATTTTGGAACATTTGAAAGTTGTAAATTGTAAATTGGTTACTAGCCTAAAAAGCTGTTGTATTTCAGACAAGTTAGCAACCAATTCATGAATTTAAACTCTGCATCTTAACTGTTTGAATTCTGAATGAGAGTATTTAACTGTCATCTGATGATTGTGTATTTCAGTGTTAAAGTGTGGAACTTGGAAAGTCAGACATCACTTAGTACTTATAGAATTCACCTTGACACTGTGTCATGTGTCTCATGGAGTAGAACAATTAATGACATATTCTTGTCATGTTCACAGGTTAGTACATAAATAGTTGTTATTGCTAGTTTGCAGAGAAGTCAAGGATTCTCACTATACAAATAATTTATGTAATTATGCATTTCTGCTGCAACTTTTTTCGGACAGTCTAAAGAGACTGAACATGACTGAATAATTCAAGAAAGATAACATGATTTTCACCACATTTACCACTTTGAGTTGTATCACATGACCTATTTCTGTCACATGACATAGTACATAATATGACTTGTCATTGTAGGATGGTACCTGCATATTATGGGATATCCGCAATCCAAAACCAGCATCCTATGTAATAAAGAATGATCACATGACTTCAGCTCCAACATGTGCTTCTTGGCAACCAGAAACTCAGTACACTGCAGCTATAGGTTTGTATTTTACAATGCTCTTTTGCGAGGCCTCGCCAAAAAAAAAAAAATCTAGTAAAATTGGCTATTTTTTTTTGTTCAAAATTTTGATGAAGTACAAATATTTCAGATAACCTCACAGTATCAACATCTGTGACAGTCTAGTTCTGTATGTTTTTGATGATCTTTTGTTAGAAGTTTTGATATTGACTCGTATGCACCCATAGGTTTGTCAGATTGATTCAGTAAATGTCAATATGCTAATGTAGTTTAAGCTTTCTAAATAATACATTATACTTCATCTTTCTGTTTATGTGAATAATTACCATTCATTGGAATGTACTTTGGTTTTTTGTAGGCATGGAAACTGGGCAGATTGTAATTAAGGATGCCCGAAATCTTAAAGAAACGGTCGCCGAAAAGAATGCGCATAATAGAGCGATTAACAGAATAGCATTCTCTAAAAAATAGTAAGTTATGACTGGTTGTTGTATAGTGACAGTATTTGCATGACATTTCATGTAAATATTAATTTTCATATTCAGCATCTTTGCATTGCCTAGTGATTTGCATAATCTATAGTTGAATGGCTATCAATTACTGGACATGTCCCCATTGTCAACTAAAAGGCCTTCAATATTGCAATATTGCAAATGGCTTCATAGCAGTTTGTAGATGTAGTCATTAGTGGAAAGGTCATGTGACTTCTTGATTGTATCATTACTTTTTGATTGTTCTTCAGTTCTCATTGGTTGGCCTCAGTATCTGATGACAGCACAGTTGCACTTACTGATGTAGCACAGACTGCAAAAACAATGTAAGTATTGTGACTGAGTTCAGTTCTAATAATAATTAATTAATCTTTCTCTTCAATCTGGTGAAGTGCCAGCACTATTCAAGTCTGCAATCATCACCCCTCTACATAAGAAGACCTCACTTGATCACAATACACTCAAGAATTATCGTCCTGTTTCAAACTTGCCGTTTCTCTCCAAAGTCTTGGAGAGGATTGTTGCTTCTCAACTGACGGACTATCTTACTGCAAACTCACTTCTGGAACCACTACAATCTGCATATAGAAAGTACCACAGCACTGAAACAGCTCTTCTGAAAATCCATAATGACATTTGTTCTTTCATCGACT